ATACTTTGAAATTCATGCATGAGGGATCTTCAAAAAATTAATCAAAAAGGTGTATTATGTTGGACCAGGCAAGATGGCTCAATTGGCTAATCCTCCCATTGCAAGAGTCAAGATTCTATATGGGTGCTGAGCCCGTCTTGCTGCTCCAATTCCCATCCCACTCGCTACATATGGCCTGGGAAAGCAGCAGAGATCATCTCAAAGCCTTGGGACCCTGCACCTAAATGGGAGACCAGTAGGAAGCTCCTGGGTCACTGCTTCAGAATGGCTCAGCCCCAGCCATGATGGCCATTTGAGGAGTGAGCCATCTGATGGAAGATCTTTCCTGATGTCCTTCCTTTTCTCTGTAAATCTGCTTTTCCAATAAACATAAATAAATCTTAAAAAGAAAAAGTTTCAGAACTATTCAAATTACTTGGATAGAACCCTCGGAATATATACACACTGAGATTCTGGGTTGATATAAGGTGGTGGTTCCTCATCCCTTGGGTACTGGAACATGCGGTAAGTTGTAGTGGTTCCCCCTTTATTTCTTCCTTTCCCCCAGGAACAACAAGAAGAAATATCAAATTCAGAAGCAATGAGTTCACTATTTTTCCCTAAACTTCAATCCTTCCCACTCTGATCACCCATGCAGTCATTATTAAAAAATAAAATTTATTAAGATAAAATGAAAAAATAAAATATGTATTATGCCAAAACTGTACAGGGATTTCAAAAAAATTCTTCCCTACATAAACTTATCTTAAAAAAAGATTTATTTATTTTATTGGAAAGCCAGATATACAGAGAGGAGAGACAGAGAGGAAGATCTTTCATCCGATGATTCACTCCCCAAGTGAGCACAACAGCCAGTGCTGTGCCGATCCGAAGCCCGGAACCAGGAACCTCCTCCGGGTCTCCCATGTAGGTGCAGGATCTCAAGGCTTTGGGCTATCCTCGACTGCTTTCCCAGGCCACAAGCAGGGAGCTGGATGGGAAGTGGAGCTGCCAGGATTAGAAATGGCACCCATATGGGATCCTGGTGCATTCAAGGCGAGAACCTTAACCATTACGCTATTGCATCAGACCCCATAAACTTTTCTTTTAATCACATTTTCCACAAAACTTTCTAAGTATCGTATGTTTAACTATTCCTGTATTTCCCTGTCCTTTTCAAAAACTAAACAAGACTTCACACTGATGTTTCTGATTTTAGTTAAGCATGTTATGACTACTCTTTAAACCAAGTTTCAGCTTCCCTCTATTACCTAGCATACTCACAACATCCTCTATTAGTAGGTATTTCATTAAACTCAAACCTGAACAGGAAAGTAAAATATATTTCAAAATGAAGTCCCATAATAGACCATTCCCACTAGAAGGCACATATTCCAGCACACAATCAAGAGAATTACAAACACTGGTTATTTATCCTTTAACTTATTTTTTACATAAATGCTTCATTACTGCTAGAAATCTTCTCTGAAAAGCTACTTTCCTTTAAATAAAGAAAAAAAGTAGAGTTAAACACTGTGGCTTACCATAGTCCACTAATACACAATTTGATTTAAAAAAAAAAAACCAATTTGGAATGGAAAAAATAAGAAACTACATAATCATAATTCCAGTAAAGGACAAAATAAGAACTTGTCTACATTTAAATTCAGTTAGTCTCACTTTAACTCTATTGAGATCCACCATTACACTCCACCATAGTTATAAAAAGCAAGCCACTTAATAAAACAAAGCTGACTTTTCCACACCGAGTTTTCACAGGTGTTTCAAGAAATAATAATATATAAGATACAGTTAGACAAAATGCAGTTAATTTAGCTTATCTGAAATGAATTAATAAAATAAAATGCATGTTCGTACTAAGATGCTAAACCATAATTAAACAGAAATTTATCCTGGGCACAAACAATAGCTAAATATTCATGCTGATTCTTGCACTGACCTGCTACTGTGGCCAGGAATAAAGCTACCGGTTTATGGCAGCCTGGGGGTGCAGGCTTGCAGTGGGTCTTGGGGATAACACCGGCTGGGGCTTGCAGTGACCCGGGGCTCACATCTAGGCAGATAAAGCAAGCCCGAGGATTTCCCCATGAGCCTGGTTGTGGATGGGAAGGATAGAGAGGAGGGGAGAGCCCCAGGCTAGCCTGTTGTGCTGGTAGATCAGGCCTGGATCTTGGGTGTGTGGAAGGGTAAGGTGCCAGGCCAACAAGCATGCCAGGAGCTTGAGACCCTGGTGAGTGGGCAGAGCTCCAGAACAGCACATCACCCACTGTGCTTTGCAGAAATCTGGAATGGGGAATCCATGCACTCCTGGGTGCAGGGACTGTAGATTGATTAGGAAAGGGGCAAGGGAATGTGGGGCAGGCAGGGAGGAAGGACTGCTGAGGCAGTGTGCTGCAGGTGAGAAATGACTTCTGAGGCAGGACTCCCAATGGCAACACCACTACACCTGCAGATAAGAGAAGGCACTGAGACTAGAGGACCTTTATGGATCATACTAATGTACCAGCCCATGTGGAAGACATGAACTGGGTTAGTTACCCTGGATTACTGCTCACCACTATGCAGCAGCTCACAATAAAGCCAGGGCTGGGGGCCAGATCATGTGAACTGGGTTAAGGAGAGAACCTGGCTGGGTTAACTGATTATGCAATGGTGCAGGAATGAGCCAGAGTAAGCATAGACTGGCTGGGCTTTGCTGAAGCATTAGCTGTCAAGGGCTGGGACTGGGGACAAATCCTGCCAAGCTGGACTGCAGAACCACTTGGAGAGCACTAGATCTGGGACTGAGAGTGGGCCCAGTAGGAAGACTATGGGCACCTCTCTGATGGGTTGAAACTCTCACTGGTGAGCATGAGAACCAGGGACTGGGGTGGTCTCTGGTCTGCCAGCACAAACGTGGGCTGGATACTGGGGTTGGTTGGGTTCAGGTAGGCTTCAAAGCATACTGATGTGTGCAAGAGTTGAATGGGATGAACATTTGAGGGTACAGCTGAGGGTCAAGTGTGTGGTAGGCAGGGTCGGGCTGGGCAGTAGCATCCAGTGGTTTGCATAGGAGACAGAACTGACACAGCAATTGCAACCAACAGTGTGTGAGTAGACTGATGTGGGTGACAGACAGAGTTGGATTCTGTTCTGCCCAGGATACACAATAGTCAGGTCTGGAATCACCTCTGATGAGGTCTCTTTGGGAATCCCTCCAAACTGAACAGCTGGATTCAGGACTACAACCACGGGGAGAATGGCAGGATCTGTAATTGACCATGGAGTGCATGTATCAGATCTGGGCATCTTTAGTGGCTTGGATGGAGCAGTGGATGGCATACCCAGATGCACAGGAGGATATGGCAGTTCAATGGGGCCTAGGAGGGCAGAGCAAATTGGTCAACTACACCAGCTAAGTGTTGACAGCAAATATCTGGCCAAAAAGAAACTCTAAGGTAGACTATATCAGCCAATGGACATTGGAAGGATCTCCTCATCCTTGGATCAGGGAGAATCGACAGCACTTCGGAACTACGAAAATCACTTGAGTAGAACCCTTGAAACATGTTCTACACTAGGAATTCTAGGATGACATCAGGAGGCCACTCCCCATCTGGGTAATGTGGGCCGTTGGGAGGCTGGGTATGGCTTCTACCCTTACCTCCCTCCCTCCCCCAGATACTGGAAGAAGAAAAAAGAAAATCTAGAAACGATGGTCTCACCCACTTTCCCCTAACCCTTGACCTTTCCCAGCCTAATCAACTATGTAAACATAAAAAATAAAATAAAAATATATATTTATGCTTTGTAAATATTCCGCTAACTACTACTATGTAAGTTACAAACGTAAATGAAATACAAGCATTAGCTTTTCCAGAAGAACTCATAATCACAAACTATGCTACAGTATATGTATACATGTAAAAACAAAACAAAATATGGAAACTAATATTATTATAAGTGATACATAAATATATAGTCTTTGCTTTTTTCCTACTTTAAAGTTAATATTTTATTAGCTTATACCAAATTTAAAAACCCTGAACACTAATTTCTGGCTCGAGTGACAGAACTATTTCCTACAAAAGGAATGCTTGTTATTAACTAAAGAGTAATTATTACAGTGATGACACTGATACTCAAAAAAAGTGTGATTCAGGGCCTAGCATAGTAGCCTAGCAGCTAAAGTCCTCGCCTTGCATGCACTGGGATCCCATATGGGCACCAGTTCTAATCCCGGCAGACCCACCTTCCATCCAGCTCCCTGCTTGTGGCCTGGGAAAGCAGCTGAGAACAGCCCAAAGCCTTGGGACCCTGCACCTGCATGGGAGACTCAGAAGAGACTCTGGGCTCCTGGCTTCTGACTGGTTCACCTCCAGCCATTGCTGCCGCTTCGGGAGTGAATCAATGGACAGATCTTCTATCTGTCTCTCCTCCTCTATAGATATCTGACTTCGCAATAAAAATAAATAAATCTTAAAAAGGGGCAGGTGGGGGAGTTGAGGATTCAATACATTGCAAAAAGTACTACAAAAGCAAAAATAGATTTTAAAATGCAATGAGAAGACTTTTAAGATAATTGTTGAGAATCTCAGTTTAGATTCAGTCTCTTTAGCCACTGAACTATGGGGAAATTATTTAAATGTTTTAAATAAAGATTTAAATATTTAAAAGGGTTTATTTTCTGTCCTGCATACCTACGTAACAAAGTACAAGTAAGAGCATATATGGAAAAACTACTTTACAAATTATAAAATGTAACCCAAATGCTAAGTATTAATTTGTTTTTAAAAGCCAGACAAATACATAAAGAGGCATAAGCATATACAAACAAAAACACACACACTATCATCCAGCAGGACAATAAACAGCAATATTAACAGAGGCATATCCTTGGAACTCATTTTCTTAAATTATGTAACATAACAATTTATTCAAAACATTTTTAAAGCATTTCTTAATATTAAAAGATGCAATTCAATAAAGCAATAGGTAGAAACGTAACCAAAAATATTTACCTTGACAAAATTATCAGGAAACATTCCTCTTCTCCCATTTAGTTCTCCTTCTAGCCATCCTTCCTCTTGGAGTTTTTTCACATTCCTGATGATTTCCCCAACTCGAATAGTTAATTCATCATCATGGACAGCATCATAGTCATATTCCACAATATAGTCAACTAAAAAAAAAATAAATGTTGAATATCTAATTCACAAAACACTCTAAACCATATTAATCAACATAATAAGACATCATTAAAGCTTGTAAGTTTTTCTTTACTTCAACAATTATCTTGATAATCTTAGTATATGGCACATTGCAGCTTTTAAATAGAAGCCTCTAAAGAAATACAAATCCTAATTCATGCCATCAAACATGCTCATTTTTGTGAGACTCTGAGGTGGTCCCTATTATCACCTCCCTCCCCATGGCATTCCTGTCTGTGAACATCTACATCTCCTTGCATGAGCAAGACTATAATACCATCTCTATGAGAGTATAGATCCATGGTTAGCTTAAAAGATCCAAGCTGCTATGTTTCGAGATAGAAATGAACTTCGAAGAAGAAATAAAGAAGTCTCTGGATGACAGCAAGACACTGAGGACTTCAGCTCGACAACCTCAAAGATCTAAATGATGCCAACAGTCATATGAAGTTAGATAGCAGTTCTTTCCACAGTAGAACCCTACATAGATTAGAATGCACCCATGATTAACATCTTTCCTGCAGTCTTACTGAGGAAATAGTCATCCCTGAATTTTAAATCACTGCAACTATGAGATAACAAATAGTAATTTTTGCTTTAAGTGTAGTATTTTATGTTTTAGGAAATTATATGACAGTACTCAAAAAGTTAATGAAGGGCTGGGCATCAGACCTACTGGCTAAGACATTAAGGACACCAACAATCCAGACTGCACTACCTGGGTTCAACTGCCTGCTCCAATTCAATTCCAGCTTCCTGCAGTGCATGTCCCAGGAGGTAGGAGATGACAGTTAAAGGAGCTGGGTCCTTATCACTCAAATGAGACACTTTACATTGTATTTGTACCTCTCAGCTTTGCTTTAATCTTTGCAGGCATTTAGGGAATGAACCAGAGGATAGGAACAAACATTTTCTTACTCTCTCTTTTGCAATTCCTGCAGCTTTCTTCATAGTATATATTTTCCATAAATGTTTGAAGACTTCTCATATGCACAAACTTCAAAATTTTTTGCACCAAAATAAATGTATCATTTAACTCCTTTCACCAATTAAAATTATTTATTTGAAAAATTAATACAAAGACAGAGAGAAAGGGAGAGAGAAAGAGACAAAGTGAGATGGGTACACTCCCCAAATGTATGCAAGAGTAAGGATTGGATCAAGCAGAAATCAGGAGCCAGGAATTCCATCCATGTTTACCATGTGGATGTAAGGGATAGGCACTTGGGCTATCTTCTGTGGTCTACTCGGGCATCAGTAGAGAGGTAGATGAGAAACCAGCCAGTTGGGATCCAAACGGGCACTCATATGGGATGCCATTGTCACAAGTGGTAGCCTAACCTACTGAACCAAGAGGTTTTTGAAGTACACTTATAAATATGTCATAATATTTTGAACAGTTCCATAAAATGAAAATTAGCAATTTCCTGTTTAAGATGGTATATTAATCACTCCATATATCTTCCCTTTTCTCACAAGAACAATCAGAAAGAGGAAAACGTACACACACTAAGTGTACAAAAACAAATTAATACTAGTACACAAACAAAAATCAATGGAATAGAATAGAAGCACCAGAAGGGAGCCCACACAGATACAGCCAACTAATCTTTGACAAGAAAATGCAAAACAATCCAGGGAAAAAGCCTGGTCCCTTCAACAAATGCTGTTGGGACAAATGGACAGCAGCCTGTAGAGGGAAGAACCAAGACCCCCACCTGTCACCTTATATAAAAACCTGCTCTAAATGGATCAAAACCTAAATCTGCATCCAGAAACTATCAAACTATTAAAGGAAAACATAGGAAGCACTCTTCCAACATATAGGAATAGGGAAATACTTCTTGAAAGACATCAAAATAAACAAGTGTGACTAGATCTCACTAAAAAGCTTCTGTACAGCAAAGGAGATGACCAACAAAGTGAAGAATCAAACAACTAAAGCGGAGAAAATCTTTGCACACTGCACAACTGATAGGGGACTAATATTCAGGATCTACAAAATTAACGACTGCGAACAACTCTGTGAAGAAATGGGTTGAAGGGAATGAACAGACATTTTTCTAAAGAATAAATTCAAATGGTAACAGATATATGAAAAGATGCTCAGACTCCCTAGCTGTCAAGAAGATACAAACAAAAACCCACATTGAGGTTCCACCTAACTCCAGTGAACTTGGCTTACATTAAGAACTCTATTAACACCACCTGCTGGCGTGGATATGGGGAGAAAGGAACCCTCCTTCACTGCTGGTGGGAGTGTAGGCTAGTACAACCTCTGTAGAAATCAGTATGGGAAGTGCTTAGAGAATTGCAAATAAACCTTCCATATGATCCAGCTAACCTGCTCCTAGGAATATATCCAAAGGAAATGAAAACTGCATAAGAGAAGGGGATCTGTAATCCCATATTAACAGTGACATAGAGTCTCTTCCAGCTGCGTGGTGGCCGGAAGGCCCTGGGATAAGCAGCGTCTCATGCCTGGAGTGCACGTGGCTGCTACCATGGGCGCATCCGGAGCCGGTACCGGGCTTGCCAGTTCGCCATTTGGCGCTAGGATCTGGCTCCTGGCCGCCCGGCCAGGGAGCTCTGGGATTTGGTTTTTATGATTGCTGCTTAGAAAGCTCCATGATGAACCCTCAGGGCTTTGGGTACATGAATCAGCCCTAAAGATACCCAATGAGGGTAAATCTCCCCCATGGACCTGTACCTAATATGATCTCAACCCATGTGTTTTTAAAATTGTATAACCAAATATATTTTCCAAACCTTTTACTACTCAGAAATTGGGCGGGAGAGCAAAGAAACCTTCCATCTCCTGTGAACGTGTGAGGAAGCTGTGTAGTGTAACCTCTCAGGCACATAACAGATAACTTGTGGACAATAGATTCAAGACAACATTAGACAACAGTAAAACTACAAAGACATACAGGGGGAATCAAGAGTAACCCTGACAACCTATTAACAGGAGGTCATGTGCACAGAGCAGTGGGGGACCACAGAGTGGAGCAGGTGGACAGGAGAAGGCTTGTATCCCAAACCTAGAGACTCCCGGATCCCCACCAATGACTATCAGTACGGACGCCAAGGACCACATTCCAACTGCCAAAGAGACCACAGGGGACTGCAATGCCTTCGGAGGCCGAGAACTCAGAGGATATCCCCCACTCTTTGGACCTATCACACAGGATGGAAGAAGCTGAATCCTTCATCATAGGATCCAAGGCCATCGGAACAACATCCAGGAAACCTGAGTGGTCTTCAGAAACAGAACAGTAAACTCCCTTCAGGACTAGGGAGCGGAGCTATCTCTGGTTCTTACTTAGCTCCAACTTCGGGTCCCCAACCTCTCTGCAATGACCATGAGGGACGCTCCAGAGCCCCCCCCCCAACACACACACACACGCACACTCACACACACACTCACAAATTGGAATGGATAGGCAGAGAACAACAAGGAAGGCTTGGTCAGCATGGACTCACACACACCTTATTAGGTAGGACACAGGGATTAAGTACTCCTCACCAAGGTATGGAAGATTTCTCTGCACACCCATTCTAAAACTGTTTTGCACCACAATTGTTGAAATGTCATTGAAATAGTCACAGAAAGTTGTTAAGGCCTTGCATCCAATTTTGACATATCGGTTGCTTAATACTGTGTCAATTTATCTCTTAACGTTATATATTGTTGCTGATGTTATGTTGGGACTTTTAATTGACCAGGATTTTACTCTGTTGGCTCTGCCTTTGGACCGGGGAGGGTCTCCCTAAGAAGCCGCTGAACTTGACCAGAAAATAAGATGATGGACTCTATGCTTGGTGTATGCTTGCAATGAAGGAATCTCAACTAAACTTGAACTATGGTTACGCAACGGGGGAAGGAACCCACCATGGGGGGAGGAATGAGAAAGGGGTAACGGGAATCCCAGTGCCTATAGAACTGTGTCACATAATATAATGTAATTAAAATAATAACAATAATAATAAATAAAACAATTAAAAAAAAAAACAGTGACATAATCCACAATAGCAAAGACAGGGAAACAACCAAGATGCCAGTCCAAACAGGAGTGGTTAAAGAAATTGTGGCACACACAGCGCACCAGCCTCAGCGGAGCCTCTCACAGATGAATCAACAAATGGCTGGCATGAATATCAGTAGTGCAAACCCTACATCTGGTTTTGGCCAGCCCCTCAACACAACAGCAGGATGGTCTGGGAGCTCTTTGGGTCAGACCCTCAGCATACAACTGTGGAAATGAAAACTGTAACACAAGTCTCATCCAGAACTAACTAACTAACTAACTAACATCCCTTGCTAAAATGCATCTAGTTCCTGATTAGTCCATGTACATATATAAATTTTTCTTTTTCCCCATTTGTTCACATTGAGAATGATCTGACTTTGTTGGTCTGTTCTGATTAAATTTAATGTGGTGAAAAGCAGGATGAAAAACCATTTTATGTCCAGGGCAGCTTTACTCATTTTTCCCATGATTTCATAAACTGCATTATTTGAGAAGCTGCTCAGTCAACTTGCATAATCAGTTTTACTCTCAATAAAATTATAGCTCTAATGTTTGCATATAAGGGAAGTAGATATCATGTTAGTAAAATACCTCTAACAGTATAAACCCTACCCCTAAATTAGCCAGTAATCCTATAGGAAGGTACTGTATGATCAAATGTTTAATCATATAAATAGAATGTAAATGTATCACTGAGCAGTGTTTTCTAATGTTTCAAAATTATTTTATTTCATCATTTCACTTCACTGTGCTATTATTATGATGTGCTTAACAGGGAACATGGTCAAGTGAAAGGAAGATAAACTTGGATGTTAATACAAAGCATTTAAGTGACTGTTTAAAGGATTCAAATTTTATCTGACTCTTACAATTTGGATCTCTTTATGCACATAGTGCTAACAAAGACCTTTTCCCGCACTATATGTAAACAGGGTAACTAA